AATCATGAAAGTGCATACCCATTTCACGAAGTAGTCCGCCCAGGCTTGTTTGTATCTCTTGTCCTGCTTAAGGCAGGGATTAGCGCTGCCAATCATACTGTGATCGCCGGCCTTCATCCAATATGGTGGGGACCATGGGCTTCCTGTACACTAAAGGTTCGTCCATACCACACCAATGGTAAATTACCGAATAGCTTCAATGACGCCTTCCCCAAAGCATCGTGCATGAGCTGAATCATACCGGTGTCTTCATCTCCCTTCAAAGACTCATCGAAGTGCTCCAAAGCGAAGTCATCAGACACGTTGTCAAAGTTGTAAGTGTACGGACTGAAGTCACACGAGTTGATTGGAATTCTACCCATAGTGTAGCGGAGTCCACTCTGGCCAAAGTACCTACACCGACAGATCATCATCATCATGGATGTTGGGACAGACACTCACAATTCGATGAATTTGCGTTTATCATCATCACTCAACTTCTTGTAATTCACACCAGATGCCGCTGTGAATGCACCCCCAAAACCTTCGACAGGTCTAGGATTCAACGACGCTGAAAATGAACGGATACAAGTCTGTTCCGAGACCATGCATGCTGAGTCCAGGTGAACAACACTTCAACAGCAGAAGTGAATACTCATCGATGCTACATGCTAGCTCACCCGTGTTCAACTTGACATGATAAGTAGCCGCCGGACCTTGGTCAATTGTGATGGACCGACGTGTCATATTACCACCATTTTCCGAGGTGACAAACCTAAAGACAATGCGCCCGAGGTGAAAGGGTGATGCTTCCTTACGCTGCAGCCCCAGTCGGTGAAGGCGTAGTGCTCACTACAGGAGTGCTCGACACAGGAGCTCTGGTGCTGGTAGTACCCTTAGAAGAACTGCAACCAGATAGAGTTAGCAGGCTAACTATTGATGGTATTGTGAGGATTGTTGGCAGTAGTAGGCCTCGCATTAGTCACAATAAGAGAATCCTACATGTACAGCGAGGTATGTATTCTGCGAGGAAGAGAGCACAGCGGGTAGGCCCACGATACCCAGAGGCGCTAAGAGAAGGCAAACACGGATGATGGCGTCACCACTCCACGGAGACGGGGGTCACGATACATAGAGTCAGGTATATCAGTACATTACGTGAGAACGGAACGGAGGAAACCACTGTCATGAGTGATGCTAGAGTTGAGACTAGTCGAGTAACAAGCCGCCGCACAATCCATTCACGTGGCGCCGCACGTGACGTGGTTCAGAGGCACGCGTGCAT